TGATATATATGCAGCTGAAACATATAAAGTTGCTAGTGAAGAACATTCAATAACAATTAAACTTTTTTATCAATATTTATATGAAGAAAATACATTTTATAATCATGTATCGAAATATTTATCATCACGAATGCCTGAAATTGAACAAAGATTAGAAAATGATGAATTAATTCCATCATTTGGTTATGATCTTGCTAAACATTGTTTAAAACGAAATGATACACTTATTGCTTATCCTATTGAAATATGTATTAGACTTTTAGAAAATAGTTTAAATGAACAAGGTCTTTTTCGTATTGCACCATCACAAGAAAAAAAAAATAGTTGCTGAACTTAATTTACATGCTATTGATAGAGGAAGAACACTTTATGATCTTAATTATGATCCACATGTTCCAGCAAGTACACTTAAACAATATTTAAGAGAACTTCCTGATTGTTTACTTACAAATGCACTTTTATCACAATGGAATGATGTTATTTCAATCAGGTTTTTATCTTTTTTCTTTTAAGAGAAAAATGACAAGATACATTTTAATTTATATTGAGAAAAATAAAAGATATATTGATTTAGTTTTTTTTTTTGAATATAATTGATATTAATCAATCTATCTCAACAAAAATTTCGTTTAATTCATATATTATATTTAAAAATATATAAAGAAACATTTGAAAATTGAAATAGTTAAGATTATATTGAAATCAATTTAAATCAGAGATGGGCAAACTCCGATCGCTCCACCCGCTCCAGAGCACTTTTCGGTCGGAGCGCTAATGTATGTAACTGAAGCGGTGACAAACACAGGTTGGAATTCGACTTTGCTCCGAGGGTTCTGGTCGGAGCGATAGATTTTCTGTACTAAAATTTTTTCGCTCCGGTCAAAATCATCGGAGCAAAGTCGAACTCCAGCCTGTGTTTGTTACCGCTACGAGTGATCTCAGTAGACCGCAACTTTTGCTTGTCACTGCTCCAGTTACATACATTAGCGCTCCGACCGAAAAGTGCTCTGAAGCGATCGGAGCTTGCCCATCTCTGATTTAAATCTATCAATCTTGTTGAGATATATATAGCTGTCAGCGTCCAAACTGAGATTATGTCCAATCTCAGATCCGAGATTGGACGTGTCCAATGTTGGATTGACGCAATTCTGTTCACTAAAATATCAATAACTTTTTTGATAGACGTTGGATTCGAACTATGTTTTGAAATTATGTTTGCACAATGCCGTTTCAAGTTTTACAAGCATTTAGGAAAAAGTTAAAATTAGACTAAAAAATTTAATAAAAAATTTTCACGATAAATAGTTATTGATATTTTAGTGAATAGAATTACGTCAATCCGACATTTGCCTAGGCCAATCTGAGATTGGATGTAATCTCAGTTTGAACGCTGACAGCCATATATATACATTTTTTTTAATATTTAAATATTTGACAATCTTTAAGAAATATTTTCAATAAATATTCGAATCTAATGTCCGTTTCAAAATATAATGCGTCCCACTGTTTTTTGAATAACTCAAGAACGCAATCAGCTAGAGATCTACGGTTTTCACCAATCGAAAGAAGAGACAGGGGGATGTCTTTTTCTTCAATATTGTATCCGACAAAATCATTTTAGAATCAGTCATTTCTGCAAAACATTGCAAAAAATGCATGAAAATGACCCGGCATTCTGAAGAAATTTTTGCTTTTGACATGTGATCTAGATAGAGGGACTTCGGATCTATACTTCAGGATATAATTCGAATGATTATCTTACCGCATCCTAACGTTTAGCAAATAAAATCGTCGATTTACTCGCAAGAAAACTATCAATTTCTTTACTTTTTGTCAAAATTTCATCTGAATGACAGACCATTTTTTCGTTGTTATGCAGAAATGACTGGTTTCAAAATGATTCCGTCTGATACGATATTGGAGAAAAAGACGCCCCCCTGTCTTTTCTTTCGATTGGTGAAAACCACAGGTCTCTAGCTGATTGCGTTCTTGAGTTATTCAAAAAACAGTGGGACGCAATCTATTTTGAAACGGACATTAGTAGAGAAATTCAATACGAATGATAGATTCGATCGAGGATTTATATATATTAAGTTTTTTCAGTGGAGAAAAAACTTTTTTTTATTTTATTTTATTTTAAAAATCTCTACTTATCCAATTTCTTTGATAATACAATCATAGTTAAGTATTTTGAAAATAATTTTATTTATTCGTTGTTTTTTTCTTATATAAATCCTAAACAATAGGATTATTGGCTGATTAGAAAATAAAATCATAGAAAATTAAAGATTAGGTAGATAAGAATATATTTTCATTTTCTATATATATATATATATATTTACTTAGAGATGACCAAAAGTTCTAATCCTTATCAGACAAGGTAATCTATTCAGGCACATTGAATGAAATATAGTAAATTATGTTTTCATAAAACATTGCTACGTATATAAGATTGTAACTCGTCATAAACTCTACAAAATCATATGTGAGAAAAAATATTTTACAAATACTTTCGACTAATATCAATAAGCACAATGTTCAGTAACATATACCGTGCTTAGCTATCGGTATCGAATAGTCGCCTATCAATAAATTGACTTGAGTTCCTTTAAAGTTTTATGAAATTCTGGTTTACTATATCTCATTCGCAAAGTAAATATGTTCTATAAATTTTATTGAGATTATGTTAATTTATTCTCTTAAATAAATATATAAAAAAAAAATAAAACTATTTAAATTTGAAATGATTGATTTATTTAATTTAAATTTTAGTGGTGAACAAGCTCGTCTACAACGAATAGCTCAATTAATAAATAAATTACCTGATATAAATTTTTAGGTATTTGTATTGGATGTAGTATATTATATGGTAAAGATCAATCATCATCCCAACAATCGATTTCAAATTCTT